AGATGTATATATATTGTCAGTAGAATAGTCATAGATGTTTTCTGCACTGGCTTCAGACTCCTCACAAGTACCATGCTGCATAATGCTTTAGGTAGCCTATTTTTTAGTCTTAATAATGCTTAAAGCCTGTTCTTTGCAGCTCTGGATCCTTTTACCCAAGCTGCAGTGGAAGCATTTTCCAGACCTCCATGGCAGTGTTGTTCTTTTCATGGTTCTCATGCTGTTGTACTCACTGCCTTGCACCTGCAAACCTCGATAATGTTGTTATGATAAGTTCTCCTGGGAAGCAACTACCACTGGTGTGAGAATCATCACCCCTCCCTCCTTTTTCTTCATTCAAAGATAAGTTACTTAAATACTTGATAAATATTCTCTAGTAATATAGGTGCACAAAATTTTAACAGGCAATATGCAACATTTGTACTAGTGCTGTACTCTTCAGTCGCTGCTAACAGGGCCATGAATGGGAACAATCAATGCACAGGTCTTGATGAAAAGTATGGCAAAAAGTCATCTTCATCATCACCACGTGCTATGCTGGAAAGACCACTTCTATCCCTCTGTCTGCTTTTTAAACAGCAGGAACTCAGGAAATATATATTCAACATTGCACTGGGAAGGTATTTAGTCCTCTGCTAGAGTGCAGACCAAAGTGGACACTGTAGTAATTAAGCATGGCATTAAGATACTGGCTGCTGGTCTGGCAAAATGACAAGAGAAGGTGGGGAGGGAGGGAAGTGACCTAGAAGATGAGGTCAGGCAGGGAGAGCCCAAAAGTCAAGAACACATAGTGCACCTCTCCAACAGCATAGACAAACACATCCATGCAACAATTACATCACACAGCAAGTCTCTTCACAGACAAAAATCGGGAAGACTAAAGTACTGAACAACACAACAGTTCACGCTATGATAGCATTGCTGTTAATGTAACAACTGCCATTACTAAAACAGAAACCACTATTTCAAATTGAGTTTTGAAAGTAAAAAAAAAAAAAGCTTTACTGAAATACTGTAAGTCTTGGGGTTTCTTTAGTCAGTGAGGCTATGTTCCTTCTCCTAAGTGAAAGCTGACAGAAGGGAAAGTTAATTCAAAATATCTTTTCTTCTGATGGAAAGAGAAATTCTCTCTTCAGGAATAAGGCCCCATGTGGAACATGGGGAATGGACTCAAAGCAATGCCATGCCACAGATCCTTTTCAGTGTGCTCTTCACACAAGAATTCAGTTAAACCTATCCCAGGAAGGGCATCACAATTGCCCTGCCATTAATTCATTGCAAAAATCTTTGTCCTTTCAAGGAGCTTAAAGGTAAAAATCATGGAATAGACAATTGTTGCTGGGAAGAACAAACTCGCCTGTGAAGCAGGCTGTAGATTGGTTTTCCCTTAGTAAAACATAGCCTACAGATTCCCTCCTCTTCACCCACAGGTAGACCCTGTCCTTAGCATCTACTTACCACCATGTTTTTAATGAAGACTAGTTACAACTGTTCTAAGAGCAGAAGAAAGGTTAACACTCTGTTCTTCCTGCACAATTACTGCTATTTTTTTCCTCTGTATTGTGTAGCAGGACATAAGGTCCCATGACTTCAGAGTTTGGCACATTAAATCTACTATACCAAAAGGAATCATGCAAGCTAATACAAGGATTCAGCATTGGGTCTACCTCTGCCCTTTTTATTCTCAAAGGGCATAAATCTCAAGTTCACAACAGGAGATTTTCTACAATAGCTTCTAATTAAACACACATTTGTAGTGTAAGTAGTAAACATTTTATCTAAGAAGAGAAAAAAAAATAGTTTTGATGTTGCCCACATCTAACACTTACAACTTAGTAAGGTAGAATTAGGTCTTTACACAACAAGAACTACCCCAACAAACTGATTTTACACATGCAAGAAGCCCAGCTGAGTAGAAAGGGTCTGAGGTTTGCATGGATACTCTTTCATATCTATTAGCAGAGCAAGGCCTCTGGCCCCCTACTTTGAGATTTCTATTAACTTTTGCATGAATAAGAACACAAAAATAGCAAGCTCAAATTCTTTAAAATAGTCTTTCTGTTACGTATTTCTTTCTTCCACTGTGTGGCTCTAAGTTTTCACTCCCCAATGGCTCCAGAAGATTCCTAATGCTCAAAATGTGGCAGCTCAGACACACAGATATTGCTTCAAACTCAAACTAACAATCCTGAGTGTGACAGTCTGATCCCTTAAAACACAAATCCATGTCTCTTCATTTACAGTTTATCACATATATTTTTACACACATTTATATGGTTAAAGGTCTCATTTCACATGGGACTGTTCTGCTGAAAATTAAGTTAATCATTACTTACCAAATCAGCATAACTGATTAAAACAAATTTCTTGGAAATGGGATTAATTAAAAAAAAATCAGTCTCTTTTTCCTCAAGAAAATGCTAGCAATGCCGTGGTATTTTGGCTAGTTCTACTATATTAGCCAGGATTTGTAATAAGAAGAATAAAATAAAATGGTTTATTAAATCCTGAACAATCTGGAAAAATCCTTATTGGGGGGAAAAAGTATGCTATTAGCATGTTTATATTTCTACATAGCTTGAAAATATGTTGCAAACACGCAACAGATGGTCTGACGTTATTTGACGTGTTTTAGTTTTTTTAAATGATCTGCAGCCCCATCCTCTCTAAAAAAGACAGCTTAGCTGGGATTTGCCTGCAATTTATCAGTGAATTTAGACTGCATTTGCCACAGTCATAACAGCAGCTGCCTTGGCCCACCACCAGGCCTCGGTCACTTCCGAAAACATTATGTAAGCCCTACACCTAGCAGCATTAAAACATAAGTGTCATACTTCAAATGGTAAGAATATTTCAGTCAGATTTACTAAATAGGTTATAAGAACCAGGAAGATATCCTTAATTAATATTTAAAAGCTACAAATTATCACTGAAACTTTTTTTGCCTCTGGCTAAGAATTCTATTGCAAAAACCCATGATATATTATGCAGATGGTAAATTGTAGTACTTCAGACACCATAATATTTTAATGAACTGTTAACACATACATTAAAGGAACTAGTGGGAACAAGAATTGCTAAAAGAACATTATTTATTGTTTTTAAGAGAAGGAAGTGAAAGCAGAGAGACTGCTATTTCTAAAAGTGATCAGCATACTATTTGCTAAAGTTTACATGTAGATTTTATATAAAAGTATGCAGAAGTTCTAGAAGAAATGTATGAACTACATACTCTTAATGAAGCCTCCAATCAGCTTAACAGTACTGATTTCATGTTCAGACTATACCTGTACTTGCGCTGATAGAGTTCAAAGACACACCATACCGTTGCACTTGCTGGATCCTGGAATGCTCTAGCTGCACCATCCTGCTGGGGCTCACGTGAAGCTGCAGAGTGGTTCAATCCTGAAATGTTTGAGGGTCCAGCATCAGGCTTCCTGGATGCATTGACTTCTGCCTACAAGGAGTACATATGTATGCTTCAGAGACAAGATCGAAGTTCCTCCAAAAAGATCTGGCTTATTTTGGAATGTGTGTTTTAACGCATGGAGAATATGAGACTTACTGAAATGTAATAATCAAGTATGCCAACTGCAGTTTAATTACATACGAACAATTAAGAAATTCTCATTCCTTGGAAATAAGACTATAGATGTGCAAACACCAGTTTAAAAAATAATTTTGTTTGCGTGTAACAATAGGTATAACATTCAAAAAACACACAGATGTATAGAGCAAAAAAGAAAATTCTTTAGAAAATCCAGGACAACATTATGCCAGAAATAAAACCATTTTTAAAAACTTTTGTTTCTCATGTCCTTAAGTGAATGCTGACTACTGTTGTTACAAGTGAACTAATATAGCCTGTTTCTCAGCAGGGCTAACTAGCCTCCAGTAAGTGCTAATTTAATGTGGCTATACTGGTTCTAGTACTGAAGTTGCCTCACAGCCAGAGTGGACATATATGCATGGCACCACACTGTGTCAGGCACGCATACCTCAGTTTCCACTATTTAAATTTCAGCACAAGCAGAGCAAAAGAAAAAATACAAGTCTTACAATAGTGCTTTTGTACACATTTATAAAATGTCAAATAAGCATTCAATTCCCAGAATCTAGGTTTCACGTTTTTGGAAATTTCAGACAAGAGATCAGTAGTAACATGTAGAAGACCACGAACAAACCTGTTGTTAAAACAGTATATATGCCTGCAATAATCCATTGGGAATAGAAAAGGACATAACATCACAGTCCTGGACTGAAACACTTAAAAATTTATACACATTTAAAAAAAAAAAAAAAGTCATGACCAGATCAATTTTTATCAGCAAGCAAGTCATCTCCCAAGTCATATATCTAGATCTCAATTTATTATAAAGATGACAATTCCAAATCTAATACCTGCCTTCAAATGCAGATATAAGTAGTGGTAGTAGTAGTAAGAAATACAGTGTATTAGAAAACAACCAGCTATGCTGATAACAAGCTAATAAGATCACAAGATAATAATATTCTTTCATGATAGTATTTTGTGTGAGGAAATTAAATTCCCTGTTTCTTGATGTATATTACCTCAGGAGAATCTGAAAAACATGTCAATGAAACAACCTGAACATTAATTTAACATTTAAAAACACTTACAAACTGACAAAACTGCCTTCCTTTTGCACTTGACTATTATGAACTTTAATATTAGACAGGACAAGTTATGACTCAAATACGGACTAGCAACAAACCAACACAGGAATATGAATAATTTAGGCTGCAATGAACCTCTAGATGTCACCTGGTCCAACTCCCTCCTCAAAGCAGAGTCACGTTCAGTCAACTTTTGAGCATCTCCAACCCACAGGGTGAATTTCCCTTTCCCATATCCAGTTTTAAGTTGCTTCCCTGGAACCTGTGATCACTGCTTTACATACTTCTGCTTTTTCCAAGAAAAGCTCATTTCATCTTTACTGTTAATCTCTATAAAGCACATACACTACAAAATGTGAATTTGATTTATTTTAGTTTATGAAAGTACTAAGTCTAGTATGCTAGACTGAAGTCAGACTAGCATTCAAAACAATAAAGCACTTGAAAGTTCCCAAAACTGAACTATCTTTTTTGTCACCTAGTCTCTCTATTCTCAGCCCTTACCTTCAAGGAAAGAAGATGAACATACGTATTTGTTTGCACAGCAAGGTTTTGGTAGCAGAGGGGGCTACAGGGGTGGCTTCTGTGAGAAGCTGCTAGAAGCTTCCCCCATGTCCAACAGGCCCAATGCCAGCCGGCTCCAAGACGGACCCGCTGGTGGCCAAGGCTGAGCCCGTCAGTGGTCGTAGTGCCTCTGGGAGAATAGATTTAGAGAGGGGGAAAAAGCCCTGCGTGGCAGGAACTTCAGCCGGAGAGAGGAGTGAGAAGATGCGAGAGCACCAGCCCTGCAGACCCCCAGGTCAGTGCAGAAGGAGGGCAGGAGGTGCTCCAGGTGCCGGAGCAGAGATTCCCCTGCAGCCCGTGGTGAAGACCATGGTGAGGCAGGCTGTCCCCCTGCAGCCCAGGGAGGTCCACAGGGGAGCAGATCTCCACCTGCAGCCTGGAGAGAGAGGACCCCATGCCGGAGCAGGGGGATGCCCGAAGGAGGCTGTGACCCTGTGGGAAGCCCACACTGGAGCAGGCTCCTGCCAGGACCTGTGGCCCCATGGAGAGAGGAGCCCATGCTGGAGCAGGTTTTCTGGCAGGAGTTGTGTCCCCACGGGGGACCCACGCTGGAGCAGTCTGTGCCTGAAGGACTGCAGCCCAGGGAAGGGACCCACGCTGGAGCAGTCTGTGAAGAACTGCAGCCTGTGGGAAGGACCCACGCTGGAGAAGTTCATGGAGACCTGTCTCCCGTGGGAGGGACCCCACGCTGGAGCAGGGGAAGAGCGTGAGGAGTCCTGCCCCTGAGGAGGAAGGAGCGGCAGAGACAACGTGTGATGAACTGACCCCAACCCCCACTCCCCATCCCCCTGTGCCACTGCGGGGGAGGAGGTAGAGAAAATCGGGAGTGGAGTTGAGCCTGGGGAGGAGGGAGGGGTGGGGGACAGTGGTTTTTTTAAGATTTGGTTTTATTTCTCATTATCCTACTCTGATTTGATTGGTAATAAATTAAACAAATTTCCCCAAGTCGAGTCTGTTTTGCCCATGACAGTAATTGGTGAATGATCTCTGCCTGTCCTTATCTTGACCCATAAGCCTTTCGTTATATTTTCTCTCCCCTGTCCAGCTGAGGAGGGGAGTGATAGAGCAGCTTTGGTGGGGACCTGGCACCCAGCCAGGGTCAATCCACCACAACAAATTTAAAAATAATAATGAGGGTGAGTGGAGAACTGATTTTACTGCAAAATATGCCTTGTGATGGCAACATGTAGATAACCCATATTGTTTTCTAGTAATGCGTATGCTATTAGTTGTCTATCTTTTGGTTTTTGGTTTTGTTTTTTAAAGCCGAATGGAATTTATGGCATATAGCACCTAAAATGGACAAAACAATTTGCAAGTCAATGTAAAGTTGATACAAAACAGTAAAGTTGTATTAAACCAGACAGGAATAAAGGTGGAGACTCTAGAAACAGGAAAACTGTAATGAGGAAATGTGGTTCGTTATTTTTTCTCCTGAATTTCATATTCCTTTCTCAATACCACACATGGGGTTTTTTTATAAGTTACCATTTCGCTTAAGGCTGGTATGAAATAATTTCTCATAATCCTAGGATCATCTAGAAAAAGTTAGGATATCTCTTCTTTAAGGATCAAGATAATGCAGAGACCGCTAGTATGTTTCCAAGTTGAGAGGCGCTCTCAAATTACACACTCAATCAGCAGTCTGATGTTAAATCTTACCCCATAAATTGACTTGGAATATATCCAAATGATTGAAAACTTTTGTATTCCCTGCTAGTAATTCATACTATTAGTTTACTACAAACACATCAATTGAATGCCTCAGCTTAACATCAAACAATAACAAAGTCAAGCTAAGCAGAGAAGCAGGAAGCTTAAAAAAAACCCAACCCCTAAAATTTTATTTGAGAAAGGGAGGGAAGGTGCAACCAGAGGACAGACTTGATTTACCTTGTAAAAAACCCACAATGGATTGGAAAAGGCTGTAGAAACCTGAGGCTTTTGTTCATTTTTCCCTTGCTGAGTGCTTGTTCTTAGGAGGTGGAGTTAAGTATGTGGATACATGGGACGCACCAATATTCTTTAAAGATTGATGTCCCCAAGTCTTTCATTTTAAAACTGAAAAAGGTATGAAATGCAAGTTAAGAGTTCTTTCTAAAAAAAATTATACTCTGATATTTTTAGAATTTCTGTGAAAATTAGCAGTTCTTAAGTAAAAATTAATCCTACACTTTTTAACCCATATATATTGTAAAAAAGGCAGGAGCAGGCAGTCCATTGCTTCTCTGAGTAGCTCAACTTTAAAACTCTGTCCCTGTATCTCTTCATCTTTGTAAAATATTTTGAGATGTTTTTATCATAAGCATTATTACACACAGATCCAACCATGTCAACATGTCTAGATGTGAGATCGCACAGGAATATGCAGGTCCTGAAAAACTTGCAGTAATGCTCAGGCAATCTTTACTCTCATGGCACGCACACAAAAAAACCAGTAGTCTTTAGGACAGTGTTAGGAGAACATCGGTGGTAAAAGGGGACATATTAGCATCCTGACCTTAGTGAGGATATATTCTGCACCAATGCCACATTGTCATAATGTATTTCACTGTAGTTCCCTGCCCTCATGCACAGCAGTCTTCCTTAGTGGCTGATTTAAGAGTTTAGAGGAAAACCCAGTGAAAAACAACACTGTGCATGCAAGACATGCAATTTTCTAAGGCACATATTTGGCTAAACAAACCTTACTTTCACTGAAACACAAGCTAGAGAACACATTTCTGGGTAACGGCAACTTCCATTCCAGAGTTCAACTTTCAGTATCTTCAGCTGCAGAGTAGTTCAAAAGAATTTGCAACCATTTTTCAGTAGGAATATGTTTTATTCCTTCCATAAGCCAGAAGGGGGGGGGGGAATCACAAAGGAAAAAAAATTTAGGTTAGCTTTGCCCAAAGTTTCCTAACACTTTTATGATAAGGCTAATTCTGGAGAATTTAATCAAGTTATTAGTGACGGAAAAAATAGAAATAAAAGCAACATAGTTACGCAGTTCTTACCACAATGCTCACCACTGAAATTAAAACTAATCAATCAGTGCTTGAGATGCACAATTTATTAATTGGCTCATTGCAAGAGATCCATTCCTATTTTCCTGTTTCAGACTATCCTAAAAAAAATCAGGTTTCCATGTAGTGATTGATGAAGGTTTATGAAATGATGAATGTTTCTAAAATTTACAAGTGTCCCCCCCCCGTTTTTTTTTTTATTCTATACAACAGAGATAAAAGTTTAAACAGTGACTTCACCTTGAAGCTAATTTGCCTGGCAAGTTCTTTAGCCTCCTTGTCCGCCTGGCTTGACACACTTCCGGATGTTAGTGGTAAGAGGGCTGTCTTCATAGATGTGCCACACATTTCACAACAGAAGTCTTGTGACCTGGCCACAAATGACATAGCTCAGAATAGCATGTTCTCGTAACGTTCTTGTGTGCTTGTTTAAACAAACTATTTGCAAAACAATCCACAGAAAGACAAGTGGTGTCAAGACCAGTAGCTTAAAAGTACTTCCCCCTGCCCCAAATCACACTGTCTTGAAAAAATATGTTGAGAATTATCTATACTACAAATACACATTCTCTCATGTTGTTTAGGAAAGTATTAACAACTGACTTGCATATTGCTATTATCTATATTTTATTAATAATTTGTTACATTTTAAAACTTACCTTATACCGGCAGCAAATTAAAATTGTAAATTATAAAGACCTAACTATTATTACAAATATTAAATTGGACCCAGGAGCTTGAACCTTAAATCCAGGAATTTCAGCTTCTCCAAGAGCACTGCCTTTCCTCCCCTGCACTCATAATTTGTCCATAGGGCATACTGCAGGCAGCTCTCCAGGACAATGAGAAACCACACAGCCTTGATAGTACAGTACCAAGACCAACCCACGAAACCCTACCTTCTCAGCAGGGTTTATTAGCTTTGACTCAGTGCCATGCTAACAGGAAAGCTGCAGCTTCCAATTTGTAGGCAGGTGTGAGCTTTTTCTGCCTGTACTCTGAGCCAAATAATGTGCTAGTTACAATTTGGAATACAGTAACTTTGCTTATTAGATAGAGATAAGGCCTTTCAAGTACCTTCTCCTTCCCAGATGGGAAAGGAGAAAGACCAAAAAAACCCCCACAGGTATAAGATTTCATTTAAGGATAATCATAGAATAGTTGAGGTTGGGAGGGACTTCTGGAGACCATTTAGTCCAGTCTCCTTGCTCAAAGCAGGGCCAAACAGAGCACGTTGCTCAGGTCTGTTTCCAGTCACATTTTTAATACGTCCAAGGATAGAAACTCCACCACCTCTCTGGGCAACCTGTGTTAGTGCTTTGACCATCTTCACAGTAAAAAAAGTGCTTTCTTGCATTCGGATTGAATTTTGTGTGTTTCAGTTTGTGCCCATTGCCTCTCGTCCTGTCGCTGGATGCCACTGACAAGAGCCTGGCTCTGTCGTCTTTACAACTTCCTTTCAGATATTGGTACACATGGATAAGATCCCCCTAACCTTCTCTTCTTCAGGCTGAAACTCTCAGCTCTCTTAGCTTCTCCTTGTATGAACCATGTTCCAGCCCCTCAGTCACCTTCATGGTACTGCACTGGATTCACTCCAGTAAGTCCGTATCTTTCTTGTACCCTGACCCGGACACAGCCCCAACCTGGACCCAGCACTCCAGACATCTCAGCAGTGCTGAGTACAGAGGAAGGATCACCTCCCTCGACCTACTGGCAATGTTCTTCCTAATACAGCCCAGGATACCATTAGCCTTCTTTGCTGCAAGGGCACATTGCTGCCTCATGATCAGCTTGGTGTCCACCAGGGTCCCCGGGTCCTCCCCTTCCAAGCTCCTTTCCAGCTGGTCGGCTGGTGTTATTCTTCTCCAGGGGCAGAACTTTGCTCTTCTCTTTGTTCAACTTTATCAGACTCCTCCAGCCCATTGAGGTTCCTCTGGATGGCAGCACAACCTTCTGGTGTACCAGCCACTCCTCCCAGTTTTGTATCATCTGCAAACTTGCTGAGGGTGCACTGTCCCATCATCCAGGTCATGAATGACACTGAATAGCACTGGCCCCAGTATTGACCCCTGGAGTACACCAGTAGTGACCATTCTGCAGCTGGACTTTGTGCTGCTTACCACAATCCTTTGAGCCAGGCAGCTCAGCCAGTTCTTAATCCAGATTATGGACCCCACTTAACTAGGCTGTACTTCATGAGTTTTTTCTATGAGGATACTAAGGAAGAAGCATCAAAAGCCTTGCTAAAGTCAAGATAAACAACATCCACTGCTTTCCCCTCGTCCACAAAGCTAATGAATTCATCATAATCACAAATCTAATTTTAAGTTAATTTCCAAATTAATTTCCTAAAAATCATTCAGAAACAGTTGCTTCAGACTTTTTAGTTGTTGTTTCATCATCATCATCATCATTATTATTATTATTTACTTAAGGGAAATGATGCATCATTATTTTGGTTGTTTTGTCCCCCACTTACACTTACTATCAATTCCATCATACTCATTTTCCCTCCACACTGCAGTTACCACTGTATCACAATGTTAATTACATCTCTAAGCCTGAATTTCAGATGAACCTCTAATTTGACCACGCAATGCTGGAAGGAACCCAGCCCTCTCAAAGTATTTTGTTTGACCGTAAGTTCTGAGTTTGCACAATGTTCAGGGGGGGGAAAAAAAAAAAATATATATACGCACACACAAAGCATAGAACTTTTTTTACATTTGGAATAAATGCAAAAGAACAGATTGAAGTGACTGACTTTCTACTCAATGCCTCACCCTAAAAGACAGTGTGTATATATATGTATATATATATATATGTACCTACAGTAACAAACTTAGTACTTACTTCTTTGCAAGAGCTCTTCTTTCTTCTGGTGTATAATCCAGAGATCCTATTGCTCCTTCACCTTTGGTTGGCATAAATCCAATAATAGCTAGTAAAGCTGTTCTTACTAAAATGGGAAAACAGAGATACAAACAAGGTTGCAGAAACAACTGATATTTTATCTCACTCTACACTCAGTATAGAAAAGTTGCAGTTCTGCATGCAAAACTTCATTTTGTCCAAAGGAGTAGTCTGAATTTCATACAAGCAGCACTGGGTTTTTTGGTACACAGCAAGGCTTTCTTCATTTTTTAAACTTCAAATTATAAATGAAAGGTGAGGCCTTATTCTTCCATCAGCCAACACAGAGAAGAAAAGATAAGTTGTCACAAAAATGTTGCATCAATATAATAATTATGAGTTCCAGACTTTAAAAATGGGTTCTGAAGAAAAAAAAGGTAAGGGAGAATTAACATATAAATGGGGGGGGGGGGGGGGGGGGAAGAGGAGGATTCATAAGGCATTCTTCTTTTTGTGTATGCTTTCTACTAGACACAATTTCTGCAATTTAGTGCACACAAGCTCAGTGGTTTTCTTTTATGCAGTGTACCACAGAATTTGTTCCTTTTATGGCATCATGCTGGGGAAGGAGCTTACTTAAAAATACTAATAACAGTTCATAACAGAATTGTCATCTTTTGACAGTATCTATCCTTCAATTTTGTTTTACATAGTCATGAAATTTAAGAATTCAAGACACTTTGCTAGTAGATTTGGTAAATAAATATCACATGAAGATAAGTACCACAAAACAGAGACAGGATATTTACATGTCCTACTTAGAGGACAGTATTTTCTACTCTTTAAAAAAACATAGGAGATTTTACAAAAGTTGAAGAGTGGTCTGCTAGAAAATTCCTAAGATCTTACCAACATATTTTAAAAGTGCAACTGATATCCAAAGAAATAACTGATATACTGTACTCAGCAAAACTAAAATTATATAAACACAGAAATATTGCCTTGGATGAATTGTGCCAACTCTCAGTTTCTGTGATAACAAAACTTTTTAAAAAAGGTAGAAAACATTCAGTTGTTCTGAACTCAGACCATATTGGCTTTCCCCTTGAGTGTTCAGAAGTACAGCATCAAAATTAAAAGCTGACCACACTCCCCACTATCAATATTCAAGCTGGTTTTAGGGATTATACAAAAACAAGGTAAAGTAATAAGATTTAAAGTATTTTCACATAAGAACAATTTAAAAAAAAAACACAACAAAACCACCAAAGAATATTCTAAGTAGTCTGAGAATTCTTACTGCTTGTGCATCCAAATAAATAAGAGCTTACTATCACCCCAGTTTCTCAACCCTTTCACTCCACATTTAATACCATTCCCAAATCCTATGTCACTCTTTCACTACTTTACATTTCTCAAATTCTCCCATACTTTTATTCCCTCAAAATCTGTCTCCTCTTCTGCTATAAACATTCTTTGTGAGATTTTTTTCAGTTTAAAGAGCTAGTTGCTTGATGGGGTGTCCTGGTTTCAGCTGGGATAGAGTTAATTATCTTCCTAGTAGCTGGTACAGTGCTATGTTTTGAGTTAGGTATGAGAAGAATGTTGATAACACTGATATTTTCAGTTGTTGCTAAGCAATGTTTAGTCTAAAGTCAAGGATTTTCCAGCTTCCCATGCCCAGCCAGCAAGAAAGCTGGAGGGGCACAAGAAGTTGGCACAGGACACAACCAGGGCAGCTGACCCAAACTGGCCAAAGGGGTATTCCATACCATGTGATATCATGCCCAGTATATAAACTGGGGGGAGTGGGGGCAGGGGGAATCGCCGCTCAGGGACTAACTGGGTGTCGATCGGCGGGTGGTGAGGAATTGCACTGCGCATCATTTGTACATTCCAATCCTTTATTATTATTGTTGTCATTTTATTAGTGTTATCATTATCATTATTAAGTTTCTTCTTTTCTGTTCTATTAAACCATTCTTAACCCATGAGTTTTGCTTCTTTTCCCAATTCTCTCCCCCATACCACTGGGGGGGGGGTGTGGAGTGAGTGAGCAGCTGTGTGGTGCTTAGTTCCTGGCTGGGGCTAAACCACAACATGGGGGTAACATTTTCCAAATAATAGTTACTTACTACTCCATGAAGGCTGCCATGTTTCAGGATGATGCCCTGAGATGCTTAAACAAATTTTCTTCCCCACTTCAAACCTGCCATTGGCCTTCAAAGGAAGAAGGAGGATATAACAAAACATGTTGGAAGTTAACTCTTGGGTTTTGGTACAAGTTGTAAAAATCATGGTTGAACAAATCTATATGCAAACAATACTTCATAATTACATTACTGCCAACCTCACAAAATTTGGATTCAGCTTTCTGAACAAAGAAGTCTGCCATCTGCCTCTATTCATGCATGAAGAAACCCTTAACTGATACCTCACTTGTCCCAGTGTGACACGGTGGCTTTCCTGTTGCTTCTGTAACCCACACGCCACATGCAGAGTGCCTGAAAAGCGATAGCTCTGTGAAACTGTACACACATGTGGGCCTTTGCCCCAAACCGTATGTCTGCCCTCCTACATGCAACCAATGTCTCCAACAGACACCAAGTGGGCCCATGGAGAGAACAGGAGGTTAGACAATCACATCAGCAATGTGATTACTCCTGGAGGAAATTTTCATTTATTAGGTACAAAGCTTCATGTTACAGAATACCAGAATTACAGAATACCAGAGTCACCTTGGAAGTCTTCTGGTCTTAAATTGGCAGCATTGACTGTATTATGCCACCTTTCTTAAAAAATAAAATGACCTTAAATGCCAAGAATCTGTCTCTCAGACACCTACAGTTAAATTGATCACATAAAAAGGAAAAACTAGTAAACGTGCTTACCGTCAGCAAAATAATGCTGGGTGGTTTCATAGGATATTCAGGTGGTAGTACTATTCGCCCGTGATAAATCCCTCCATCGAAATCTGAATCTGGAGGGCCTCTAACAGTAAAGTGCCATTCAAAAAGATTATCCTAAAATGCCCCCACGAGAGGGAGAAGAAAAAAAAAGAAGGAAGAGTGTGTCAAAGTAGAAGACAACTAAACACTATTCCTTGAACAAGGACAGACTAAAGAAACAGTGCATAGCAGAAGTTTTAAGAAGGCAAAATCAAAAGGAGAGTAAGATAACCAACACAGTATTAAGATTCTGGTTAAAAGGATAAAATATTGTAGCTTTCTGGTAATTTTCTTACCTAATGGCTTTGCTGAAACCCTCAAATTCATTATTCAAGCTCTTCACTCTATTTGTATCAATTATGACAAAAGTTTTATTACCCAACAGATGGAAAACTGAGTCAACTAAGGGAAAACTGGGTCTTTGCCCCAGCGAATAATAATTTCTGGAGAACTGAGGTGAGACCCACACCAAGAAAGAACATTAATGACAGCCTTCCCAAAGCCCCTTCCATGCCCAAGTCAACACAGGGACTCAACTCACACCCCAGAGAATTCCCATCCTTTTTTGCTTCTCCATAAACAATTTTGAACAACTACTGTGCCCTACTGCACAACAGGTACACTTTGAAATTTGGAATATTATTTTCATTGGACATATAACTTCTTTTTAAGCATTATTTCTTCGGGGTTCTGTGTTTAGCTTTGTGTATTAGATCTCGTGATGCCCACAACTTTCTGAATACTTACAAGCAGGACAACTCCCACTGTTAGGACAGGAGACCATATGAGGCTTGCTGTCAGTGAATGAGATCTCTCGACTAATGCTGAATGCTGATATCACAGGGCTGTCACTGCCCACCTAGTTACAATTTTTTCAAGGATGGGAGGTAACTGTCAACATTTCCAGCATTTCCTTTCATCTGCCACTGTTCTCTTCCCAGTGAGTCACCGTTCTAACCCAGAAATAAGACCTTCATGTAAGTTACAAGTAATAGCATGAATTAAACCTTACATTTCACCACAGGAAGGGGAAACACAAGGTACAAACAAAAACTAGTCGATAATGAGGTATATTTGATAGCACCCAGGAACATGCTATTTTCTGTAAGCATATTAAGTGTGTTAGGGCTTCCTATGAAAAGCTAAATCAAACCCTCAAACTGAATACCACAGAACACTGCCTTTTTTATCATTCCAGTGAAATAAGAAGGGGTTTCTATTTAAGCTTCTAACCACCAGAACTTCATTGTCCTCTCAGCCCAAAAACTTAACTGAGTGTTTAGAAGACTTCAGGAAGCTACTATTTAAGAGGAATCTAAACATTCTCTCTTGCAATGCATCCAGAATTGCACCCATTTATGTTTTTCAGGGGTTTTGTATGCAAAATAGTGAATCCTCATAGTTCACCTAGGTTGAAGTGTTTGGTTGAGTGTACTGGGTTTGCATGGCAAGGTTTTGGTAGCGGGGGTGCTACAGGGGTGGCTTCTGTGAGAAGCTGCTAGGAGCTTCCCCCATGTCCAACGGAGCCAATGCCAGCCGGCTCCAAGAGGGACCCACTGCTGGCCAAGGCCGAGCCCATCAGCAATGGTGGTAGGGCCTCTGGGAGAACAGATTTAAGAAGTGGGGGGAAGGACTCACATTGGAGAAGTTTGTGGAGGACTGTCTTCCGTGGGAGGGACCCCACGCTGGAGCAGGGGAAGAGTGTGAGGAGGAAGGAGCGGCAGAGATACCGTGGGATGAACCGACTGCAACCCCCATTCCCCATCTCTTTGTACTGCTGGTGGGGAGGAGGTAGAGAAAATTGGGAGTGAAGTTGTGCCTGAGAAGAAGGAGTGGGGTGGGGGAAAGGTGTTTTAAGATTTGGTTTTATTTCTCATTACCCTACTCTGATTTGATTGGTAATAAATTAAATTAATTTTCCCCAAGTTGAGCCTGTTTTGCCCATGATGGTAATTGGCGAGTGATCTCTCCCTGTCCTTATCTCGACCCACCAGCCTCTCCTTATATTTTCTCTCCCCTGTTCAGCCGAGAGGGGGAGTGATAGGGCGGCTTTGGTGGGCACCTGGCATCCAGCCAGGGTCAAACCACAAGAGTTGAGCAACTCAGCAACTGAGCCAGATGTCAGGTTCGGGTGCAAAAAGCTTGACTTAAACATAATGCATTCATGTAATGTCAGGAAGAAGGAGGGGAATAAACATATTATACCTGTGTGATAAAATTACTCAGATGCAACATAAACCCAGTATTATGTACTTGCACTAACAACCTGGAACTACAATACTGTTCAAGTAGAATTCTGCTGTTGATTTCCACCATAGGACAAAAAGAACTGAATCAATTTCAAACGGTCTGCTATTATCCAAGTACGTACATTTTAAATACATATGTATACAGAGAACTTAAGAGTATATATAACACAGCCTAATTACGAGCTCTTGCAAACATATAGAGAAACAAACCTCCAAAGGCTGTGCATGATAATGATCTGTAGGATCCTTAAGTTCTGCAGCCTCTTTCATCAAACGTTTGACAGCTGAAAAAAGAAAGTGTAAGAAATGAAAATAAAGAAAAAAATTAATATGCATTGCATACAAAAAATACATAAACATTTCTTGAAGAGCTCCTTTTAGCTAACTAATCTTCATCAGCACATCCCAGTTTCTCCATTGGAGTTAATAATCCAAAACACAATATAAATTACTCACACTGAATAAATCTTAAATGAGTTATACAAGCACAAAGTTATGAAAAGTATGTTGCACAGTCACAGAGTTTCTCAACACTGAACACTGGGACTAAAGTAGTTTTACATTAATTGCACCAAAGACACGAGGAAAAACATAGGTGTCATTAACAGTGTTTCAGACTTTAAATACAAGATGTACAAGACTAATAACCTCAATATTTTATCATTAAGGACATCATGTGCATCTTTAAACAAATGCTGAAAAGCTTTATCCTGACACCTCCCGTGACTATCACACGACTACTCCCTTAATTATTCCAAAGGAGGTCACGATAAGATTTGAGAGAAACCAACACATTGGCAGTACAAGGAGATGAAGTATTAAACTAGATTTGAAAACACGTATGCCCAGCCAGAAAAATTTACCCAGGGCCTTTGTAATTTGAACCTAATACTGAGTGTGGACACACTGATATTTTTCTATCCTTAATTCAGGATAGGCATTAGTTACCCTCTCCAATCTTCTAATTCAGAACCACCACCATCATCTGTATTTTCTGCATCTCCTTTTTCCTTCCCCTTTAGTATGTTCTGTTACATCACTTGTCCTGCCAGGTGCCCTCATGTGCATCATGCATTAATGCCTAATAAAGAACTCAGCCAAACTGAAGAGCAGACTAAACGTAAGAACTACAGACATGAAATTCAAGGATGCCACCTCATGAATAAGACTAGGTAGAAAGTTCTTACTCCTTCCTACTTACTGGAAAAAGTGCAAATACCAGTTACCTCTTTCAGCAACTACATAGGAACAGGACCCCTTAATCCATCCTCCACAGTCAGGTCAAAGCACGGATGTCCCACCCACTCATGTAATTATCTAACTACAAAGAAGGAGAAACACTGACCAAATTCCCTTACATTGTAAGCCTAAAGATATGGTGAAAGTGAACCATAGTTCCTCAGTTTACAAAGCCTGGCATCACCAGCTGACTGTAGGCTGTGTAGCATGCTCAGACTCCAGGGCTTCACTCGCTTTCATGATGCTGTCAGGGAAGCCACTCTAACCCTCCTGCAGAGAAATTTTGATTTCAATCTACTGCGAAAAGTTCTTTTCCTCCTTCACACTTCTTGACAGCTATAAACAACAGCTCAAAGTTTGAGAATGTCACTTCTTACAACCCAAAAAGCAAACAGACTATGCGGAAATTTGCTGCTGCCAGTTGTCCCAATTGTGCTGCTGCCAGGGGGAGGTGTCAGTCAAACACCCTGCAGAGCCCACGAGGTCACGTCACAGACAGCAGCACTCGGGCTCCACTGAAAAGCAGTTTGCCTCTTTCATCTGCATTAAGGTTTACCGGTTCATTAGCGAGCAATAATAAGAAAACCAGTCTGGACCAGAAAAGGCTTCAGACCCAGCGCTGCTTCACAGCCAACAAGCCTGGACACTTGCCTTCAGAAGAGTGGCGCACACCAGGGTGAGCTAATTCAGGAGCGAATACCCCATGAAGTAAAAGGGTAACCATGAGAAAACTGAGAACGTATATAACGAAGCCTAATGAAGACAGAATAGTCGTGGACAAGGCAGACAACTCTGTTACTGAGATTTCCCAGACAAGGGACCCAAGATAGAAAAGAAATGCAGTCCCCCTGTATCAGCATCACGTGCAGTTACCCATGTTAACTTAGGGAAAGCTAAGTATTAGAGGAAAAAAAAAAAAAAGTATTTCAGGACCATTCTACAAAAGTCTACCGACACCCAAAGAAAGGTTTGTACCCAGCCCACCAGCCTAAAACTGGGCAAAGGATCTTTGGCAGTGCACATTGGCACTTTGGATCTGTCCCAAAAGGAATAGCCTTTTTACCGCTTTAGCTCCAAGGCTGTCCCCAGTGCTGAGCGCCAGCAGCTGGCAGGCAGAAACAGAGAAAACAAGATTTTGAACTGAGAACAGAGGCAGCAGCCAGGTGGGGACAACAAGCAGGTGGGCTCCTGTTAAGTAGAATTTAAAACAGAAGCAGTTTAAAGCACGTTTTTCTAACATATTTTTGTATTTAATTAACAGTGACAGTGACACTGTGTTTTTCATAGCATTATTTTATTATCAAGAAGCCAGACTATAGATATTTTAAGCCAGCAAAAAATACACTGAAAGAATATGAAATACTATTCCATTCTTGGAACATGAAATACAGAAAAACATACAATTTAGCTTTTGTATACCATAGATATAACTTTCTTAGAAGTTTTCAGTATTAGGCAACCTAGGATATCTTAAGAAAAAGAAGCACATGTATATGAAGAAAAGCTGAGAGAGTCAGGGTTGTCCAGCCTGGAGAAGGGTATAGGGAGACCTTACTGTGGCCTTAAAATACTTACAAGGGGCTTGTAAGAAAGACAGAGAGTGACTTTTTACCACAGCCTGTAGTGACAGGACAAGGAGCAATGGTTTAAACTGAAAGAGGGTAGGTTTAGATTGGACATAAGGAAGAAATTCTTTACGATGAGGGTGGTGAGGCACTGGAACAGGTTGCCCAGAGAAGTTGTGGATGCCCCCTCCCTGGCAGTGTCCAAGGCCAGCTTGGATGGGGCTTTGAGCAACCTGGTCTAGTGGAAGGTGTCCCTGCCCATGGCAGGAAGGTTGGACTAGGTAAGCTTTGAAAGTCCCTCCCAACCCAAACCACTCTGTGGTTCTGTTTCCACATTGCTGAAAAACACCAACTGACAGGCTGCAGAGAATAGCCTGGACTGACAAAGGTTCATTCCGAGAACGTGCAATCCAGTGAAGAAAGCATCGAATTGTTTGTTCTTTAAGCATAGCTACAGTATTCATGAACACAGTCCCTCCTCTAGCTACTGAAAACTGCAATGGAAGAAACGTAATTCACAAAGTCTGCCTGCAATGAGTACATGACTTTCTTATCCAAACTTCATTAAAAAGAGTTTTGATACAAAATATGGTATTTCAACCCACTTAAAATCACACTGAGTCATCTGAGCAAACGTTTGGCAATGGCAATTCTGAAAAATAAGAACAGTTTGGGCCCATTCAAAATAAAGAATTGCAAACTGTCAATAAAGTAAAAAGGTATCACTAATTCAGCCAAAAAAAATTCAAATCAAGACATTCAATTTGTCCAAGACAAATTTGAGAGACAAAATAATCAAGGTATTTTTTAATGTGGCATGACTGTCATCATGAAAAATAACCATGCTTTCACAGGTACACTTGACAACTATTTATCATAACGTTCACTGAAATTAAATACTGCAGAAATTAAGTTTCTGGGCTAACTAGAGAGCAAAGGAGAGTTCCCATCCTGGCAGGAGGTGTAGGAGCTCTCCACTGCTCTGGGGAGAAAAGGAAAGAGTGGGTGCTATGGGCCAGAAGCTCTGCTAGACAATCTGCCCCTTGTATTACACCACACTTACCAAATTTTTCTGAAAAGCAGAACATGGATGTTAAAAATCTGAGAATCAAATTTAAAGCTACCAGCTTGCTTTAGGATTGAGCAGCAGCGGAATAACACAATTAATAAGCAAAATTTGTGTAATGTATGCATGTATGATTTGTAGATTTATTTCTGTCAAAAACTGTGTCCTGGTCAAATCCTACTTCTTATTAACATTTACCTTAAGCTATGCTGAAATTTCTGTTCAACACAACTGCTTCTCTTGGTTATATCTTGAAGTCACATTCAAGTACTCCTGCTATCATGCCCAACTAGACTGGTCTGTACCTCACGGCCCAGGAAGCCCTTCTGTACACAGAAAATGCAAGTGATCAGTCTTCATAAATATCAGTATTACCGCTTAAAGAGATGACAGGATTTGAACATCGGTGGTGTTCTCTTAGTGAAATATCATGCCTCATTTTTAAAGAATCTGTTATCATGAAAATAAAAATAGTCTTAAAGCAATTACATTTAGCATTACAGAGCTTTGTTTTGTTAGTAGTCTTCTGTATTTAACAAGGAAGGATTTTAGTTCATTTTTACATTATCAGTGAACAGCACACGTGCAATCAAATGAGCTGACCAAGGTTATATTAATGTAAACATAGCACACAACATTGCAACAGGATTTATTTCAGCATAGCAAAGTTGCATGCCTTTTGCTCACTGGAAGTTCAGAAAATCGGATGCAAGTTCCAACCCCCTCCAACACTCAAAAACCAAAACCCGAGACACTGTTACAAGCTTCCTGAAGATCTGCCACAACTTGTCTACAAAAGGCAATGGTACTCAGGTACAAGAGCTCGGCAGGAGAAAGAGCTGGGTGAGGGCAGTGCTAGAGGTGAGGTGGGTGACACTGTAATCAAACCCAAGTTGGGAAGCACGGGGAGGGTGAGGTCTCAGTTCAGCAAGGCTCAGCCTCTACTACTTCATCACATCAAGAGACAGCATTTCATGCACACGAAGATGACTGCAGGATCATCAGTGAAACAAATTCATATTTAAGTGATATGGGTTGTGCGTGACAGTATCTTCCTCAAGTGGATAGCAACCATTTAATTCTACCAATCTGCAGTTCTTCTGTTTGAAAAAGAAAGTACATAATAAACAAATGAATAAAGGAACCCGAAACAGCTGGCATAAAGCTAGAGATCTGCTAACCTTTCAAGCTGACTTATCTGATCTGGAAAAAAAAAAGGAATAAAACAACCTGACAGCTTTTACTACTTCAGCAAGTGCTTTCTACTTTCTGGCTTTTTTTAACGGCTGCTATTATTTTTTTTTTCTTCACCTTTAAGATTTAGAGGTCTATGCAGCAGAAATACAGAAAAAGTAGCAACTCTTTCCCATGGCTCTGCTGACCAAGACAGCATAATTAAGGATGCAATTTACTT